CCGTTCAGAACACAGATGAGGGCCCAGGTGTTATTCCTTAGAGCTATGAGGCCTTGGTGTCAGTCGAGGTGTCTAGCTTGGGGGTCTGGAATACACGTGCGGTGGCTTCTAGTCAGTCTCACCCGGCCCTTCCTCAGATGTGATCTGCTCTAGAGTAATCGCTAACTCCTTGTCCCTTACAAGGAGGACATACACTGGCTGCATCACAAGGCATGTGGAGAGTGGGCTGGGGGTACAGGTCCAAACAAGATACCAGTTGGAAAAGAAGCAAAGGAAAAAACCGAGCTTTTTCTCTCATGGGGTCGCTTCCGCTTCCCTGTCTCAATGGGGCCGAGAAGAAAATGACAGATATACCTGTGGGAATCATTGATGAAAAGATAAGGGGCTGATAAATGTGAGTACATGATGGACGCACAAGAGCTCACACTGCGGAGTATGGTAGGGTATGGCGTGTGCTGTGCACACAGGGCACGGGAATGGCACGCCTTCTGAGACACACTCACCTTACCCTATCCCCGAAAATAAATCCCAAAAGGAAAGGATTAACGAGTTCAAACTGAGGAACAAACTTAAAAAAGCTTTGTAAAAAAACCCAGAATACTATTTCTGTAACATGACCTAAAACTCAAAGGCCATCAGGTAACCCATGAAAACTGATAAATTATTTGTAATAAAAGAAAAGTGACATAAACACTATGATTAAGAAAAAAGTGAGGCACCTGGATGGCTCAGTCAGTGAAGCGTCCAACTTCGGCTCAGGTCATGATCTCACGGTTTGTGGGTTTGAGCCCCACACTGGGCTCTGTGCTGACAGCTAGCTCAGAGCCTGGAGCCTCTCTTCGGATTCTGTGTCTCCCTCTCTCTCTGACCCTCCCCTGTTCATGCTGTCTCTCTCTCTCAGAAATAATTTTTTTTTTAAAAAAGGGAAATGACTGAATGGGAGATTACTGTCCCATTAATCTATAATAGAAAGGTAAGGAATATAACAGAAAGCTGGGCCCAAGATCAAAACAGTTAGCTAATGGAAAAAGGGGTGAAAATGGCTAACACACGTGTGAGATGAATCACATTACCTTACAGATATCAGGGAAATACAAATTGGAACAAAGGTGAAATACTTCTGTGCATGATAGGAAAAGATTCAGCGATCGATGCTGTATGGTATTATGAGGGATAGAGATAAATTTGCTTAAACATTGATGGTAAGAGGGCAGACTGCTGCAGACCTGTGGGGCATGATTCAGGTCTATGACACTCGTAGTGGCACTCACCTAACGCTCCAGCGCGGCAGTGGTGGTAATCATATGCCTTCCTGGAGTGGGTCACGGTCTTCAAGTAACTTCGGGATGGCAGCAGTGTTTGTATTTGCACAACTCTGACAGCCGTGAGAGTAATGACGTGGCTGGTGGTGGTGGTGGTGGTACCTACATTACACAGAACTGCTGAGGTGGTGGTCAGAGTTCCATATGTGTGACAGTCATGGTGCTCCCAGAATTCTGTATTGTTGGTTGTGGTCCCTATGTAACTGTGACGGTGTTGGCAGTACTCAAATAATTCTGTGACATTGCAGTTTCCACACAACTGTGTTGCTGGTGGAGGGATGCACCTTTGTCATGGTGTTGACATAATTGTGCAGTGCAGTGGTGGTGTCCACAAAACGGCAACATTGGTGGTAGTGGTGCTCATGTACTTCTCCTACCCTGGTGGTGGTATTCGTCATGGTAGTCACATATGCCTGCTGGGATGGTCATGGTATCCCATATCTGCAGTGGTGTGCTGGTGATGGCATTCAGATGTCATTGTGGTGTTGGTCGTGGTGTCTCCATAACCCTGTGGTGTTGGTCATGGTAGTACCTAACTTTATGATCATACTGGTGGTAGTATTCCCTCTAGCTGCATCATTGGCTAGCTAGTCACATAGCTCTAGGAACTGGTCATAGTGTCCACATGGCTCTTTCGTGGTGCTGGTGTCTGTATGCACATAATCTGCAACTGTGCTAGTTCCATTTCTGTGACTCTGTGACATGGCCAGTGTCATTTCCATGACTCTGTGACATTGGTCATAGTATTCACATACCACTGTGATGGTGGTGGAGGTGATGGTCAAATAACTACGCGACAGTGGCCTTGTATTCACATGACCCTGTGATGTCGGTGGAGGTTATGTTCACATGGTCTGTGAAGCTCATCATGGTGTTCCTACAACCTTGCAACACTCATTTGTCATGGCATTGGCGTGACTGAGCAAAGTTGATGGTGACATAGTAGCTTGTGACGGTGGTGGTGGTATAACTCAGACAACCCCGTGACTTTGGTCATGGTGTCTGCATAACTCTATGATGATGGTGGTGTTGGCATTAGCACATCGCTTTCGGGTGGTGATGGTGATATGCACGTAAATCTGTAGCTTTAGTCAGGCGAATCACTTAGCTTTCCCGGTCGGCAGCCATGATGTTCACAAGGCTTTGCAACAGTGGTGGTGACAGGGTTTGCATGGCTCTGTGCTGAAGGTTGTGGGGTTCACATATCTCTGTGATGGCCGTGGCAATATTCTCCTAGCTCTGCCGTGGTCGTGGTGGTTGTGGGTTGCAGATGATTCTACATGGCAGTAGCAGTGATCTTCACAAAGCTCTGAGGCCGTGTTGGAGGTGCTAATCCTATCACTCTGCAAAGTCTATCGTGGCCTTCAGGTAAGTCAGAAATGGTGTTCATGGTGTTCACACAATCTTTCAGGGCTGGTGTGGCCTTTGCATAAGTGGTATCCACATAACTGTGAGGCTGTTGGTTGTAGTCATGTAACTGTGATGCTGGTGACAGTATTCACAGACCTCATCAATAAATATCACCATCTTCCCATAAATATGAGATGCTGTTGGTGGTGTGTTCAGATAGTTGCAGTGGTGCCTGGGGGGTATTTGTGGTGTCGGTGGTGTCTGCATAAGTCTGTAGTGGTGGTGGTACATGTATTTACACAGCTGCAGTTGTGGTGTGGGGGTCGCATGTTGCTGCAAAGCCAGGCATGTTCTCCCTGTAACTCTGTGATGATCACCATGGTACTGATGTAGCTCTGTGTGTTGGTGGATGTAGTGTCCACGTGGCTCTGCAACTTTAGTCCTGGTAATGCACAACTGTGAGACTGGATGTGGCATTCAGATAATTCTGTGATGGTTGTGATCATGGTACTTACATATCACTGCAGTGTTGCCAGTGGTATTCACATAACTGTGATGGTGGTCACAGTATTCCCACTTCTCGGTTGTGGTGGTGGTGGTGTGGTTGTATTCAAATAACTACAGTGATGGCTGTGGTATTTAATAGCTCTCTGGCGGTGGGCATAATATTTGGCTGTCTGCAGTGGCTCTTGTCACAGTCGCACATCTGCAATGGTGGTCATGGGACATTCCCATGAGTCTGCACTTGTGGGTGTGAAACTGCATAACTCCGTATCTTTGAGAGGTAGTGGTGTTACTGGCACCATTCTGCCACTTTTCTGTGGCACATTCTGTCCCACACACCAATTAATGACTTCACTTTGTAACGTTGCTGGTGATGGTATTCACAAGTTCTGGGACATCTGGGACATTGTGGTGTCCCGTGCTGTCACAGTGATGGATGTGCCAGTCCCACAACTCTGCAAAGTGGGTTGTGGTCTTCACACATTTCAGCGATGGTGGTAGCAGTATTCACATAACTCTTCCGTGGTGGCGACGGCGTCCAAGCAGCCATAATAGTGGTGGTGGTGCTCCCACAACCCCGCAGTGTTGCTCCTACTTCTCATATAACTTGTGACATCTCGGTGGTATTCACGCAACCCTGTGGTGGGGGATGTGGCCTTCGTGTAACTCTGTGACTTTGGTGGTGGTAGGTCGTAGTCCCGTGGTGTTAGTCCCAGTCCACACGTAGGTCTGTGATGTTGTAATCACACGACTCTGTAATGCTGGCAGTCGTGATTTGTGTGTCTCTGCGATGTTGTTCATGGTATCCACGCGACTGTGGTGGTGGTGGTGGTATTCCAACAACTGTGTGAGGTGCTGGTGGTGACGTCACAGAACCACACATTTCATGGGTACAAAGGCTCAGGCTCAGAGAATTTTAAAGTTTTGCTTCGAGTTACATAACAAGATATGACAGAGTCAGGCTCCAATTCAGGTTTTCTGAATAATTCAAATGCAGTCTTTTCTGTGACACACCATGAAGTCTCTTCCTGCGAAGTCTAATTTTAAAGGCATTGGTATAAAACATCTGTCCTTCAAACTCCCAAGGGCTTTGGAACACAAATATTGTATCTCTACCGTGCTAGTTGTTTATCTACAGCTTTCGTCATGTCCGTATATTTACATATGCACATACACTTACGTGTGTGAGGCTGATTAAAAACTTAGCTACAAATTTAGATGTGTAAATTAGAACTTCTGAAAGTTTGTGTTACATAATGCAGGAGAAGGCTTTCTGGCAAACTAAAAGAAAGCAACTACTGGGGTAATGGATAGTTTGTTCATGGAACCCAAAATATATTTCTTAAATAATGAAGTTTACTGTTGGTCAAAATGTTGGTATTGAAGTGTTTTCATTACTTCTTTAAAAATTTTAAGCCTCTAGACCCTTGTAAAGGACTAGACATACGATGTTGGGATGTTGGGATTTGAGTAGCGGTTACACACAAGTGCCTGTTTAAGTGATAATTGAATCTGCATTTAAGACTTCTGCGGTTTACAGTATGTGCCACAAATCAACACAAATTTTTAAAAATGTACTTCTAAATAAAATGAAAATACTAATGGACCTCAGAAGAGTCAAGTCTAGTACCAGCATAGGCACTGAGGATACTTTCCTAGGGGTGTGGGTTATTGCTTTTACAGAAGGTAACAGAGCCTTACAATGTACATAAAATGAGGTTTAAGAGACATATATGGCTTCCCAAATTGCCCTTGATGCAGTTAAGAACTGTCACTTCATCTCAGTCCCCAGGGCTCATGATTTACGTTTTTTTCCCCTTCCAGTACTTGGGGTGCATTGAAGTTCTCCGCTCAATGAGGTCTCTTGACTTCAGTACAAGAACACAGATTACCAGGTAAGCCCTCCTCAACATGGACTCCATGATTTTATTTTGGAAAGGAATGATTTCAGAGTTTGCAGCCTAGAAACTTCTAGAGGGAAAGTCTGCCCCTTGAGTGCTGGTGATGGTGACAGGGAGTGTATTTAGGATTTCCAAGTGTTTGTCTCCAGTCTGTGATGCACGTCTCTGACGTAAGCGTTCTCGGGGACACTCTCCACTTCCAAACTCTTTGTAAGAAGCTGCAGACACACACAGTGCTTGTGATTGTTTCTTTACACACCAAACTCTAATACCAGCTTGATATTTTAAAATGTACTCAACTGTGTTATTTCTTTCCAAAGAGAAAAATGCATCAGGAGAGAATTTCCAAAGGTATACACAGGGAATAAACTGCATGGATTGGAGGCAGAAGTATTCATGGCGGTAGTAATTTAGGAAGCAATCAGTTGTTTGCAGGAGGGGGGCAGTGATTTTGAACATGTGTATGTATTCTCCACCATCAACTAGATTCTAAACTTCCTGAGGGCCAGTTCTGTATTTAAGCATTGTTTTTAATGAAATCGTAGCCTTTTAGAGCTTATACCTTTAAAAATGCTGGTTTGGAGTCTGCTGGAAGAGGAAAACTGGGAAGCCAGGAGGGCGTCACGAAATAGCCGTTTCTGTGGGTGAAGACCTTAGCTTGCTTTGGTATCTGTAGAATTATTTGATCTAAATGGTGACATCAGAAAATGCCTATTTATAGCAGTCAGGTCACTGTATTGTCTGTTTTCAGGTTAGCAAGCTGAAGTCTAATGTTTGAACTTTAGAAAGCAATTATTTGTAGTCACTAGCTGTAAATAATGTACATGCTATACTTGTGGTCAATACCTCAATAATATGTCTTCCTCACAGAAGAAATTTGTGTTGAGAAGAAGTGACGTTTCTCTCCCCCCCCAAAGCAACTCAAGGCACGCATGGCGGGGATGCACCAGCGTCAAAATCTGCACTCAGGAAGAATCATGTCCATCGATTTGTGCAGAATGGTTATGGGCATTGCCGAGGCAGAGGAACGGCACTGTGCAGGGGGACTGTTCTGGAAACAGCAGGAGTGTTTGTGGAGTGGGCCGTCTGTCCCACACACCAAGTTTCAGCTGCAGGCGGTGTGGCGGGCAGGGCATGCTGGCCGTGTCTGGGCCACAGGGACGCACGACCATTCACCCCCTCGTGGTGGTGGCGGCTTCCTTAGAGACAAGTGTTGGCTATTTCTGCTGAATTCCTGTAACAGATCCTGTCCCTTCTGATATGCTTTCGTTTCATTTAAATTCTCTGGATGTATTTACTGAGCTGTGTTGTGTGCAGTGTGCTGGCCGCCGTGGGCTGTCCTGCTTTGCTGGGCTCCTGGTGTGGGGACACCGACCTGGGGACCCGCGGTGGGCAGAGGGCGTGAACCGTCCCTGGGCACCCTCGGTCCAGGTCCTGGAACTCTCCGGGGCAGCAGAGGTAGTGATGACCGTGTGGGAGGAAACTGCAAAACAGATATTGGTGTATTTGGATGAGTAGGTGTCTTTCTCGGTCCTGTTCCATGTAGACTGGCAAAGCGGGCAGCGTAATGGGGTAAGGAGGGGCACTGTTCTGGGACTCAGGAAACTTGGTGAATTCTGGTTGTACCACAACAGCCTCGGCTTTATTAGGCCTTTGGAAAACCACGTGTGCTTGTCTCCACGATGCTTTCCACCTCTTGCCTTGCTTTCACATCACATGACATGGTCCTTATTCTAGGTAATAGCTGGAGATGGATTGAAGGAAACTATTCGACAAATCGATGTCAGTAAGAAGCCTTTGCCTCCAGGAGAATGGCCAGCAGTGTCTTGTACATGAGCACACGGGTGCAGCTGCTAAGGCCCCTGGGGTCTCCTGAGTGCTTGCCGTGCCTGTGACTGCCCTCTCCCGCCATGGTTTCCTCTTCATACGAAAGGCACTGGGGAAGGTTGCCAGGAAGTGTGAGGTTGTGATTAGGTTTTATTAAATAGGTTCTAGGAAGTTGTGTTTCCAGAGGCTCCCCAGCCATCATGAAAACACACCTACCTACCTACCTACCTACCTATATATATTAGGCTTATTTATTTATTTTGAGACGGAGCGTGCGAGCATGAGCTGGCAAGGGGAAGAGAGAGGGAGAGAGAGGGAATCCCAAGCAGGCTCCAAGCTGTCAGCACAGAGCCCGATATGGGGTTTGATCTCACAAACTGCGAGATCATGACCTGAGCTGAAATCAAGAGTTGGACACTTAACCAGGCGCCCCAACATTTTCATAAGCGAGTAACCAGCCACTCACTATGCCTCTGCTCCACTGTTTTGAGTTTTGGATGTGTCTTTGGAGGCTGTGCCAGCCAAACCATGTGTCCCTTTGTTGGGGTCAGTGTAGTTCTGTGCTCTCCTGTGTCTGAGTTGAGATGGAGTGTCCTGCCTTCAGTAGAGCCACACCAGTAGGTCCCTGATGTCCTGCTCAGAGATGACTTTCACAACAACCACCCCAGAGGCTGCCATCAACTCGAAGTTGCAGTGGTGACTATTCATCACCTTGTACCCCTAACGCTTGGGGCAGAGCCTTGGGGACTACTCCCAGTGTGGAGGGACTGCTGTACATGGAGCCCCGCTCTACCGTTTTCCACTGTGTAAGCTTGGCCTCAACTTTCACACCTGTTGAAAGGATACAAGCATCATGCCCACAGCTGTGGTTGTCGTGGGAAATCAGGTGCCCAGTGGGCAGGGCTTGCAAAGCCACTGCACAGCCCGAGGGGTGTCATCTAGGCGGACGGGCAGGGTGGGTGGTCCCAGGCAGGGAGGACCCAGCTTCCCAGCTGGGCATCAATCAGAGACCTCTGCTTTCATCTGCTGCTGGGCTTCGGCATCAATCAGAGACCTCTGCTTTCATCTGCTGCTGGGCTTCCAAACGAAGTTAGGGTGGAACTAATACCAGTTGAGTACTGGTGGGTACTCAGTGTCCCAGCGAGTGGCCTGCGTGTCCTGAGCCCTGCCGTCAGATGACCACCTGAGTGGACCGCACCGTGCGCCTCCCTGCAACATCCTCTCCCAAGACTGCTCCCATCTGTTGTGGCACGGGGTTACAGAGGGGCAAGCCTGTCAGACAGAAGGTGGTGGGGAGAACGTGATCTCTGCCTATTGGGTCTGCCCTACACATAGATAGGAAGTTCCCACTGTGCCTTTGGTCACTGGACCCACCCTGTCCTTCCTCCTTCTCTCCCTCCTCTGATTTCCTCGTCTGCTCATTTTTATCTTATTTATCGTGTTAAATTTTATCTATTACCGGGAGTCATCTTAAGCCATTTATTTTTAGAACATGGGAGGCTATAAATATACACACACTTAAGCCCAGAGCACTCAGCGATGTGACCCATTTCTAGCCACAAACGCAAACATCTGACATGTGTCGTGTCTGACCTCCTGCACCACTTGTCCTCCTCAGATAGAGTTCCCGTAGACGTGTGGACTCGGCCACGTGACTCCGGTGCACTTCCCAGGGAGCTCAGGCTCCACACATTCTCTGGGTCCTAACATTTGCTCCTCTGAACTGTACAGTCATCAGTAATGGAGGCTAGTTTCGTGCGGTTTTGTCTGTTTTCCTCATTTATTTTTAAAAAAATTTTAATGTTTATTTAATTTTGAGAGACAGAGACAGAGCATGAGCGGGAAAGAAGCAGAGAGAGAGGGAGACACAGAATCCGAAGCAGCTCCAGGCTCTGAGCTGTCAGCACAGAGCCTGATGTGGGGCTTTAACTCATGAACCAGGAGATCATGACCTGAGGTGAAGTTGGACACTTAACCGACTGAGCCACGAAGGTGCCCCGTTTGTTCTCCTCATTTTATGTTATTTTATTTTATTTTATTTTTAATGTTTTATTTACTTCTAGGAGAGACAGGCTACGTGAGCAGGGGAGGGTCAGAGAGAGAGGGAGTCACAGACTGAAACAGGCTCCAGGCTCCGAGCTGGCAGTCAGCACAGAGCCCGACGCGGGGCTCGAACCCACGAACCGCGAGATCATGACCTGAGCGAAAGTCGGACGCTTAACCGACTAAGCCACCCAGGCGCCCCTGTTCTCCTCATTTTAAAGCAGCGGTAGTTTCGGTGGGCCCCAAAGAGCCTGGTTAGGCCCAGAGCGCCACCAGCACCACCTCGCGAATGTGACCTGTCCCCTGGCGCACACACCCGGGGTTCTGCTCAGAATCCACATGCTTGGAAAAATCTCTAGAAACATGCATCAAGTCCCTTTAGCATGAAAGTCAAAATCAAAACCTGTGCCCTTGGGGAAGGCATTTCCCTTCTGTTCTGTTCCAGCACATCAGTGGGGTCCTGGGAGATGGTCACGGTCAATGCTGTGTGTTGTGGTGTTGAAGTTCACTGCTGTGTGGCCACGACCTGCTCTTGGTGTCAGCACGAGGCAGAGGGCAGTGACTGCGGAAGTCGCTGTCGGGCCACTGGTGGGAATGCTGTGACGCTGCCGTGTTTCATGTGTGGACTGTGTTAGAGGGTGTGACCACGTGGTCTTGGTCTGATGCTGGGTAGTTAGGTGGTGGCTGCGGGGCTTTGAGTTTGAACTAGCAAGCGACATGACAAACCGGGGACAGAGGCCCAGGGACGTGGCACTATGATCGTAGGGGCTTGTGATAGTGGAAATATGGCCTGGCTTCCGTAATGATCTCTCTCCCGTCCTGTGCTTGGAGGGGCCTACCTTCAGCCTCGGCGTGGCCTCGAGACTCTGTCCACGCCCCCTGCTCGGAGTCGACTCGGAAGGCTATGTGACGCTCTCCCTTCTCCGGTCACTGCTGGCTCCCAGGGTTCTCTACGAGCCTTAAGGAAGACAAGTCTGAGATAAAAATTCTGCCACAGGGCCCGTCATCCGTGTGAATTCCACCCCAGTCCAGTATGTTTCCTCTCGTGTGCGTGGCAGCCTTCCCGGAACTGTGTGTGCCCCGGCTGGACATCCTGCGAGTGAGGGGCCCTTCCACCTGCACTG